GGATACGGCAGGGGAGATGGAAGAAACAGGGGGCACCCAAGCATCCAGCTGGACTGGAACTTGGAAAACCAGGAGTCTGCAGAGAAGAAGAGATGCTGGGGTCCCCAGAGAGAACCTGCGAAGCTTTGGGGCTCGGTCCCCTCCAAACACACAGACATGGGCACACCATTCCGCTGGCCTGTCCCTGTCCAGGGACTACACTTCCCATCAGCCCTGGCGGCCAGGAGCTGCACTTTGCGGGGGAGAGGGTCTGCCGCGTTGTCTGCTGGGAATTGTAGTCCGTGTGCACTGCCCCTGCACTACCCCCAACTCCAAGTGGGTCAGGGCAGAGAGGCCTGGGAGGCGCGCCTGCCTCCTCCGCCCCTGCCTCAGCGCTGGTCCTGAAGCCCGTGGCCCCGGCGGGTGCGGTGCCTGCGGTGGGGTCTCTGATCCCGTGTCCAGGTGTCCCTGGGGGAGGCCGCGCGTGTGCCTCTGCGCGTCCGTGAGCGTGCGCGCCCTGGTGAGTATGCGCGCGGTCTGGGCCGGGGTCTGCGGCGCTCGCAGGGGTCAGTGTGCCTCTCCCGACTCGTGTCCACCGCGGTGCTCCCCGCGGCTCGCTTTCTCTGAGTCTTTTGCTCTGCCTGAGTCTCCCTCTGAACTCGGGGGGGGGGGCCTCCGTCCCTCCCTCCGTGAGCCGCGCACCCCCGCCCCAGCCCCGCGTCTCGGCGCGTTTCCGTGGCAAGTGACCGCCCCACCTCCACACCCCCTTCTCCAGCTCAGAGAACAGCGAACACTTCAGCATCAGCGTCCCAAATTTATTCTCCAGCAGCCCTGGCCGGGCGGGAGAGGCTAAGGGGGAGGGGTCCCAGAGAGCGGCAGGCACGGGTTCCGAGCGAGACTGGGCCATGCACGGGCGGGTGGGCAGAGGTGACTCGGGACCTGGGACGGCCGAGGCTCGAACATCAGCTGATGGAGAACAGCTGGGGAGGAATCCTCGGACCTCCCGGGAGTCCCCAGCGCCGAAGAGGGGATACTGGAGCATGGGGGCACAGCCTCCCGGTTACTCTAGAACTGCAGTGGAGGCGGGAGGGGCCTCGGCGGTGGGGGTTGTTCTGGAATCTGAGTCGAACAGCAGATCCGATCCGATCCGTAAGACTACTTCAGCTGGGCGAAGGGGCTGGGAGAGGGGCGGCACGGAACTACCGAGATGGAGCCTCGAACTCCTGGAGCTGGCGGGGGGTGGTGGTGGTGGTGGTGGTGGTTCTGGAACTTGGAGCGGACTCCAGAATGCTGAGGCGAGGGAGCGTAAAGGCGTCTGCACCGCAGACTCGAGACCACGGGAAGGCTCTAGGGACTGTATAGACTTTAGAATGCTGGGAGCGCTTGGGAGGGACTTCTGGAATCCGTGGGGACAGAGGCCAGAATGCCAGGGTGCAGGATCTAGAATCCGGAAGGGGGTGGTGAAGTCGGGGCTTCGGCGGGCCAGGCGGAGGGGCCTCTGGGGACACCTAGTGGCGGTAGGTGAGATTACATGACCGGCACTGGCGCTGGGCTGGGGGGGTTGCGGGCATCCGGGTGCACGAAATCCGGGTTCACGTAGGTGAAGCCCTGGAAATCCGACTGGTCGATGCTGGCCAGGACGAGGCGGTCTGGGGGCGTCAGCGCTGGCGCCGCGCGCGTGAAAAACTTGTCGAAGTTCTCGCCGCTGCGGCCACACTGCAGGGCGAGGAGGAAAGCTCGGGCGCTCGATGTAGTCCCCGCGGGCCTCTGGGCCTCCTTCAGTCCGCACGCCCTCGGGACCTCCGCGCCCCCCTTTAGGGGATGCCAAGGAGGGAGCCCAGCCCACCCTCACCCAGGTCTCGGGGCTGGGAGGTAACTGACCGGCCGGGGTCTGAACGGAGGGGCGATCTCCAGGCGTTCCAGCCGCTCCCAGTCAATCCAGCGGAAAAAGCCGTGCGCCCGGATGGTGGGCTCCCCATCTGGCCCGGAGCCCAGACGCTTCCCCGGGTGCTTGGTCAGGAACTGTGGGAAACACAGAGAGAGACAGACGGACAGACAGAATCCCGGACAGGGAGGCCCAGAGAACACACAGGGAGCAGGGGTAGGGGAGGAGGCCAGGCAGGGGGCAGGAAAGGCGAGCGCGGGCAGGCAGGATCCGTGAGAATGGAGACAGAAGGGACCGGAGTGGGCGAGAGCGGGCAGAGTTCCAGAGGGAGGGGGGAGAGGAGGAGAGGGGAAGGGAGGGGAGGGGAGGACGGAGGCCCAGAGAAAGGGGGGATAGAGAGTGGGGCGTGGGGAGACCCAGGGAGAGGACGCAGACCCAGAGAATGGAGGAGCCAGAAGAGGCCCCGGGGAGACCAGCATGCAGAGAGCGGGATACAGACCCCATAAGGGCAGAGACTCGGAGAAAGGGGAGGACAGAGACCCAGAGGAAGAGGAACAGAGATGCGGAGAAGGCAGGAGAGAGCGGGAGAAGAGGAGACCAGAGGCCCCAAGGGACAGGGCAAAGAAGCAAGGGGCCAAACAGATACGGAGGAGACACAGAGCAAAGGTGGGACATGGGGACCCAGAGGTGCGGGACAGAAACCCAGAGAGAGAGAGTCAGAGACATGGAGACCCAGGAGCGAGCTTCGCTGGCACTTTCGGGAGGCAGGGGGCGCAGGAGGCGGCCAGAGCCAGCGTGCCCCGCGTTTTGCGTTTTGCCCAAGCCCGGAAAAGGAGACTGAGGCCCGTAGAGCTTGGGTGGGCCTAGGAGCACGGGTTCCCTGACGCCCCTCCCACCGTGCTGGACAGACAGGCCCAGCCTTCCGGCCCTGCCCAGTGAGCTGGGGAGGAGGCTCAGCCAGAGCAGGGCTGGAGCCACCTCGGACAGGGGCCAGCAGGGCCGTGGGCACCGTCCTTGCAGAGCCTGGGCTATGCCAGCCTTCCCAGGAGCACAGCATGGGAGCAGGGCTGAGTCTGGGCTCACGGCAGGCAGGGGGCTCTCACCCCCTTGCAGATGGCCACGGCTTCCCTCGACAGCGACTTGGGGTAGGTGACCGTCTGTTCCATGATGGCCTGGAACAGTTCCTCCTCGTCCTCCCCGTCGAAGGGAGGCTATGGAGGAAGGGGATGACCAGTCAGGGGCCCGCGGCCAACTTTCCGAAACCTCCCTGGCCCTCTCCACCCACCTGAGCACCTCTGGGAGGGGTCTCCTCTCCTCAGCCCCAGGGCCCACCTCCCCTCTGCATCTCAGTCTGCAGAAGTCAGCAGGGTGCTAATTAGGCAATAGCCAGGCCAGAGGAGAGGGAGCTGCGCACCGCACAGGCTTCTCCCAGCCTCGGGGCTAGGACAAGCAATAACTAGGCAAGGAATCTTTGGGGGGTAAGGGGGTAAGGTTTTTGCCATAGGGTGTGTGCACTCCCTAGAGAGAGATAGTGAGAAGGAAAGTGAGAAATCCCCCCATGGCCCGTGATCCCTTCTCCATTCTCCTCTGGGGACTTTAGGCACACACATGCCCAGCGTGACTTCAAGCCGCCAGGTCCCGGACTCCAACCGCAACTGGCCTAGCGGGAGACCACTGCCTTCACTGCCACACCACCTGCTGGCCCCGAGGCAAGGAGCCTTCACGTAGAATCCAGAAGTCTGAGCGTACATGTAAATGCCGTCCTCCTTCGTTCAGGCTGGAGCATGTGCGTGTGCACAGTACAAGGGACCGAGAGGCCGCCTCCTGGGGTCCGTCATGCCCGCCCCTCCCCTCCAGTCCTCCAGCCAGCTGGACTCTGGGCCCTCGCGCACAGGCCCGGCCCGGCCCAGACCCAGTGCCATGTGGGACCCAGCCTCGCATGAGCCAGGCAGTGCCGCGGTGCCGCGGGGCAGCCCGATGTCTATCTGAGGCTCTGTGGGCTTGGGTGGGGGGGAAATGTGTCTTCACTTTTGAAAACCTCTAGCTGAAATGTACCATTTCCTTCCATTACGGAGAGAGGCCGCAACCCAGTAGGCAGTACCAGAGGGTTCAGAGTTTATGAGAAAAGGAATTAAAGGACCATGCGGGGCCAGCCAGTGGCACGGTGGTTAAGGGAG